CAAAATTCTCTTGTGCTGTCCAACTATTTTGTTGGCATATTAAGGCATTGGAACTAGTCATACCAAGTAGTGATATAAATCAATTGATAGTGTGACTAGCCTAGTGATTCTCATTGCTCATTTCTCATTATCAATTTCCAAAGGCTAGACGCATATCCAGTCTTCTAGTAACGGTTCGTTATAGACGGTAACTTTTCCACGGCTGCTTCCGCAATTTAAACAATTTTTTAAAACCAATGTTATTGGTAGCGCCGACTGAATTTCAGGAAAAATCAAGAAAGAAGGAAATCATAGAGAAATTGAATGAACTAGTTCAATTACTCAAAGATGAAGAAACAAAAACTTGAAGAATGATAAACTTCATCATACTCCTATCAAGCGACCCCAGTGGAATCCTTCGAAAGAACATACTCAGTAGTTAAACGATCTTCGGAAGATTCAAAATCAAATGAAGGAATCTCATCTTTAAGAAACTGTGAAGAAGAAGAATAAGAAATATCCTCAATATTTGAGAGAAGAAAATGAGGAGTTACATTAACCTCAAGGAGAAACATAAAAGAGCCTTCTTCCAACGAAGAAGATGAAGTTTTCTTAAAGGAATACTACGAGTGAGATATTGCTAAGGTAAATAAATTTCGTTATCAACAAATGTTTAGAATGAATACTCAATTAGAGAAAGAAAATGATAAACTTAGGGAACACAACTTAGATCTTAAGGAATTTCTAAGATATCTTGAAGAAATCACCAAATCATTCAAGATGGAAATAACAAAGATCATAAATTCAAAAGAAACATGTGAGAGATATGTCTCCCTGAAAAAGAAAAGATAAATTTGATTTGATGTTATCAAGTCAAAAATCTTCCTCAAATAAAAATAGACTAGGATTTAAAAAGGATAGAAAACCTAGTAAAAGTTTAGATCACAATAAAAGGATTGTATAGTTTATAAATGCACACTTTGTAAAAGAGTTATCCACTTAGAGCCTTTTTATTTTGACAGATTGAAAAGATATAATGGTAACAACCTTCTTTTTTCTGGAACTAATGCACCTAGCCCCAAGAAGATGTGGGCACCAAAGGTGAGACCTTGGCGTTTTGTAGGTATGCTTTGCAGATCGAAACTTTAACGATTATTAATAGAGTTGTGCAAAGCATAAGTATACTTCTAAGTATACATTATATATGAAGTCTCTGATCCAAGAATGTACGATGATCAAATATCAATCACAATGATCAAAGAAAGTGTTTTTAAGAATATCTCAAGGTGTATGATCCTTAGTGATTAGTTGAGTGGACATGTCGGTAATAGACTTGTTCATCTTGTTGTTTATACCAACTCTCGCATTCAATGATGTGTACAAAATAACACACCATAATATGCTGGTGTTCCCTTTTAAAGAAAGTTTTAATCAAAGTTGTTTGATATGGAGGTATTACATTGTTTTAAGGTTGTAACGATCAGAAATCTTTGATTAACTATTTTCTGTGTGAAATCACATGTCTAAAAATCCTCCCTCATGAGTCAAGGAGGATGAGACCTCTATTAAAACAAAGGAAGAGGAATTAACTAAGTTGTTATGAAATATCCACATTACCTAAGGTATAACCCAAGAGCTTGAATCAAAATAAATTCTAATATTTAAACCCTGCAACATCAGTAAACATGGACATTTTAGAACGTTCGAGTGAAGCAAAGAAAATTGAAGCCAGGAGAAAAAAAACCCATCTAAGCAGTGAAACCTAGTAGAAATAAGTATGCATAATCCATGGGAGATATTTTAAAAGGGAAACCATCGATATGCAGTTGAGTAAGTAATGATGACCTTTAAGAGAGTAGTAAAGATAATTACAATGTCAGCTCACATTCATGATAATGCTGAAGTTTGAAAAATAAGAGTTGAATGAAGTGGAAGGTTTAGGTTGTGGTGTCGGCATGTGAATGTGCTCCTGGGGTAACCCAATGGATTTCCAAGTTAATAATCCAACCTTGTGATTGAAGATCAACATTGTTGGTGAGTTGTACTATATGGATTCCAACACGCTAAAGGTACTTTGGATGATCTTTTGTTGGTTAAGGAATCTATGGAAGCCTCGAAAGTGACTAAGTGTAAGTTAAAGTGTAGAATATGAGAAATGGCAGCATGAACATGAATAGATGGTACAGGAAACCTCACTTGAATTACCATGATATAATTGCAAGGTTTTGGAATTAGTCCATATGGAAATGTAGTTAATCTTAAAATCAATGTTTTATTATTAAAACCTGGTCATGGCACTCAAATTACTTTAGGAACTCATTGGGAAGTCGATGGTCAGGCTTAGCTCTAGTTGCATATGGATCATATGATACATCTTCGATCAGAACCAAAAGTGACTATCTTATCAAAACATTATCACCAGTAGTTGGTATTCTTCTATTTCGCAGATTAAGTAATACTCTGAACAAATCTGACATTCCCATAGTAAATCCAGAATCTTTACTACAAGAAAAAATGAAATTATCCAGGTGAAATTCACCTCGCAAATGTATATATCACCCAACAACGTTACTTTTGCGAGGTGTACAGAATACCCCGCAAAAACGTTAGTCGCAAAAAGTTGCAAGAAGAAAATCACGCCGCAAGTTAGTCATATGTATTTCACCTCGCAACGTTGCCAGGTGAAATTCATCTCACAACCCGTTTCTCAAGACATCACAACATCCAATGCGCAGAGCAGGGCAGAGTAGAGCCAGAGCAGAGTAGAGCCAGAGCAGAGTAGAGCCAGAGCAGAGCATTAGAAAAAAGACAGAAACTTGCTAGGTGAATTTCACCTGGAAAATTTTGAATATTCAAAAGTTTGCTGAGTGAATTTCACCGGACAAAAATTTTGAATTTGCCAAATGAAATACACCACGCAACCTATAAATAATATAATAAAAAAATGATATATTTATATTATTCTAAATATTAATTTTAATATTTATAATAATATAAACATAATAAATAATTTTAATTTAAAAATTAATTTAAAATGTTAAATTCATAAATGATTAAAAATATTTAAAATCATACTTAATTTTATAATATTCACAATTAAAAAAGTTAATAATTAATTTAAAATATTTAAATTTATCATTATTCCTCCTCGTGATTCTCGTCTTCTTCCTCACACTCGCTTACTCCTCCTTGTTTATCATTTATCAAACGCTCCAACTCTGCCACCACTATATTGTTGTTGAAACATTTATTTCATTTGTTGTTGTATTTGTTCTTGTATTTGTTCTTATGTACACAATATTTTCTCTTGTGAATTTCTCAATGCTTTCTTCCAACTCAAGTTATTTTCTTTTCATTTCTTCGAATTCAACATTTTTTGCAGCTTCACGTGTCGCAGCTTCACGTGCTGCTTCACTTTGAGCTAATTGTCTAATTGTTTCAGCCATTTGAGGGGTTAACGTTGGAGGATGTGAAGACCCTTCTCCGTCTGCAATTCTCCTAAATAAAGAAAATCTATCCTCTTTTATGTAGCTGCCAGCTAAAGGTCCAGTAGCATAATTTTTCTCATTTTTATTCTTTCCCTTACTTGCTTTCACCCAAAGATATTGATCAACAGTTGGATCAAGAGGATGTTGCCCCCACGGACCACCTAACTTAGGATGTTGAGATAAAAATTTTGCCTTCAGTCTTTGGTACTCCGCCTACACATACGTAAAAAATTTAAATTAAATAATAGATTTTAGGAAATTAATTTAAATAAAAAAATTAAATATAACATTTAAATATTAATATCATCTTACTTGAGTATTCCTCGCACGTTCGTCGCTATACTCTCCATCTCTTCCTCGATAAGTCCTCTCATGAAGCTCTTGCATTAATGAGTTCTTCCTTTAGCATTAGTCTAATTAATACACATAGAGTTTCAATTAAAAATATATCACAATTAAGAATATAATTTTAAAAAAGTAGTGAGATGAAAATATAATTACCATCCGTTCAACATGATCTACAATACTAATACTTCCAGTCCTATGATTAGCGACTCCATTTTCTGACGCTCTACGCTGCTTTGCTTTTACAATTTTTTTCTTAAACTCATCTATTTTCCAATAAGCAAGCATTTCCTTAAATACATTTTCGCCCATCCACGGAGGCTTGATCCCACTTTCTTCCCAACCAAGCCTTGCACGCCTAAGCATGTCAAAAAGTCGGGTTGTTGCTCTTTTTTAAAATTACGCTCAACCATCTCTTCATCTAGTTTGTGCCATACACACTTCTCCCGCAATATTGAAAAAATTATTAGATAATTAAAAAACAAGTTAGTAATTAAAAAATTAATTACTTAAAGAAAATATTTTACCAGAAATTTGTTAAACCATTTTTTATACTCCTCGTAACCATTCTTCACAAGTTATCCAAAAGTCTTCCAAGATTGTTTATATAACTCTTAGAATAACTTCTTTTATGCTAATTGCAGTAGGCCTACCTGGCAAGAAACTAAACAAAAATAAATTGAATAAGTATTAATTAAATTTTAAAAAATGGAAACATTTGCACATGCTTAAAATATAAGAAAGAAACTTACGAGTTTCCAACAGGCCTAATAACCCATCTTCCCTCAAACTTCTCATGTTGAACTTCCATCACATGGTCATCCTTCTCCTCCTCCTCCTCCTCCTGATCGGGCAATACATGGTCATCCGGCTCCTGATGGACTGATGTGGGTACATGTGAGGTGCGTGAGCCCCTAGGGTGATGGGATGACGACGATGCATGTGGAGAATGTGAGGTGTGTGAGCCCCTAGGGTAATGGGATGACGAGGATCCACGTGGGGGATATGGGATGCGGGATCCCTCGGGCTCAGGCTGATGGGATGATGAGGGTCCAGACTGCATGTATGGTTAGGGTATGTCTGATGGTGATACGTATGTAGGCTGGAATGGCGTGGGTATAAAAAATCCTGGTGGACCATCCTGTGAAGTGAGTAGTGAAGTGTAATATCTATGAGATGGGGAAGTGCTCATAGACTGAGGCATAGTCTGCTGAGCCCCCTGACTAAACTAGGGCATAGTTTGCTGAGCCTTTGACTAGACTGAGGCAAAGGAGCATTCCAGTTTGACTTCGCGACAAATAATCTCACACACATAGATAATTTAGAGTTTGAAGAACCCTCAAACAATGGTGTGTTTATTTCTTTCAACAACTGATAAAAATTTTGAGCTTTCTCATTCGGCAACTCTTCCCCATCACTATCTTGTTGTTCATTATAGGCCATGTTCACCCCTAAAGCATCGCCAATCATGTCATCATGTAGATTAAATTGTTCTTCATATTCCATCTGTGATCGACTACTTGAACCCTGTTGTAAATTTCTAGTCTCTGGCATATTCATCGACATTTCTTCTCCATTTGATGTACAAACCCAATAATTTTCCTTAAATTCCTTTCTCTTCAAATGAGTTTCTACTTCTTCCAGATTACTTATTATATGTCTACATCCACATTTAAGACACATACATCTTACTCCTCCTTCTCTCTGACCACATTCTTGATTAAATGCCCATGTAATAAACATTTTAACTCCTTCCTCAAAATGTGGTTTAAGTCCACGTTTTCGAGCATACATATGATTGTACATCTAACTACGATACTACTTATAATATTTCATATTGCACGTTTACAATTTCATACAAATTATAACCACAAAAAATATTTTTAACCAATTGACCAATTTAGGAATTTTGATCATTATATAAAATAAAAAATACATACATTAACAAGTACATATATGTTACTATGAAGTACATTTCAATTTGAAAATTATAGTATAACGCATTATTTATAAAATAATAATGCTATCATAAAAATATGTCACAACACAATTTTAAAAATATATTATAACTATCATATAATAACAATATTAAAAGAAAAGTAACAAAATGATAATACAATATTTATGTTACTACAATATATATTTATGTATTAATTATGTTTAGCATAATATCATTAACTATGTTACTATCATATGCCACTTAAAAAAAATAAATTTATAAAATCTATTTTAAATAATAAAATAAAATCCTGTTTTTAAATAATAATAATAATATTCTGTTTTTAAATTTTTTTTAATAATAATATTATTCTGTTTTTATAAAACGTATAATATTTCAATTTTAAACTTACATGATATTTTTCTGTTTTTTATTATTCTGTTTTTTAATAATAATATGCTATTTTTAATAATATTCTATTTTTTTACAATAATATATAGTAAAAATAATAGTATTTTGTTTTCTAAAATAAAAATATTATTTTGTTTTTATAAAATATAAAATATTATGTTTTTATAATTTATAATAATATTCTGTTTTTTCAAAAAAAAAACAATATCCTGTTTTTAAAAAATTAATAAAATTCTGTTTTTTAAAATAAAAATATTATTCTGTTTATATAAATATATAATATTCTGTTTTTATAATTTATAATAATATTCTGTTTTTTTTTAAATAATAATATTCTGTTTTTAAAAAATTAAAAAAACTCGGTTTTCTAAAATATAAATATTATTCTGTTTTATAATTTATTATAATATCCTGTTTTAAAAAAACATTCTGTTTTAAGAAAATAAGATTTTCTGTTTTTAAAAAAATATTATAATAACATTCACTTTTTTATAAAAAAAATAACATTCTGTTTTTAAAATATAATATTAATATAAATACTTTTAATATATTAAAATTTGGTTTAAGAAAATGATTTTTCTGTTTTTAAAAACATTATAATACTATAAATATTTTTAAAAATAATATTATTCTGTTTTAAGAAATATAATATTAATAATAATATTTTGTTTTTAAAAATATAATATTTACAAAATCTACAATATTTCTAAAATCTATATATTTACACAAATAATACACCAAAATCAATACTATTATTTACTTACAATTAAAAAAACAAAAAAAAATTGAAATTTACATATACCATAAAAACTATCACTAAAATATACTACACAAATCTAACTATCAACAAATTTCTAAAATATACTACACAAATCTAACCATACTATTTTTATCATAAAAACTTAAAAAAATAATAATAAAATAAAAATAAAAAAAATTCAAGCCAACTCATTCAACCCATTGTGTAATAATAAGTAATATACGTACCTTAAAAAATAGATTTGATGAATATCTTGATGCAAATCTAAATCCAGCAAAAAAAAAATTGAATGAGATGGAAGAGATTTGGAGGAGTTTGAAAAAAATAATGTGAGATAAGTTGGGAAAGAAGAAGAGAAGGTTTGGAAGAAGAAAGAAGAAGAGTGAGAGATGGAGATTTAATGTTGAGTTCCTTGTATTTATAAGGAGTTTTTAAGGTGAAAAGCACCCCGCAAATTATTTAGTCGTTGGGGCTTGCGAGGTAACATTCACCCTGCAACTCCGTGTCAGAGAAAAAATCAAAAACAATCAAAAAGTACCCACAACGTTCACCTACGCCTCTGCAAAGTAATTATGATGTGACCGTTGGGGATTGCAAGGTGTTTTTCACCTGGCAACGCATGTGATTCCATTACCTTGCGAAGTGCTATTCACCTAGCAACTCCTGTGTCAGAAAAAGAGTTAAACCGGTCACCTGCCACCCTGACCATTAATAATTGTATCATTTGATTTTCTCCCAATTTTTTAAAACTAAGTTGCAGGGTGTTTTTCACTTCACAACTCTCTTTTTAAAATTTTCAAATTTCCCTCCCTTTGTTGCGAGAAGAAAAAATATATTTATTTTTTTATGAAAAAAAACTATGTTGCAAGGTGAAAAACACCCCGCAAATGTACTTTTTGTAAGGTGAAAAACACCTGGCATAGTCACCTAGCTAATTCAAGTTTTTCTTGTAGTACTTCCTACTATCAGTCTAGCCATTTTGGCGCACCATTGAATGATGATCAACATATCTAAAAGTGTTGTTGCAATAGACAAATTAAGGTAAACTTATCCTAGATATCCTTAACTCCTTTTACCAAACATGTTTGTTGTATACTTCAGAATTCTTACGTATACCTTAATGATTCGTCTGAATCCTCTTACTTTTGTGGTGAACATGCAAGAGTTGAAGCAGTGAAGTTGTTGTATGAGGAATTAGCCAATAGTTTTCGTCTGAATCCTCTTTTCCTTTGAATATGATTGTTCTACATGTGTGTCCTTGTGCCAGTGAGACCCTACTAGAAATTTAATGAGGCTTGGAGAATGTGGTGATACATGGATATCAGAGTGCACATCAAAATATTAAGTGACTTATTATGCCCTCGACGACTCATGGGTTGATATGAGTGCTTCTAGTAGAGGTATTGAATTGCCTAGTCAGACTCTTGTGCGATTTGATAAAGTTGCACGTTTAATAACCATTTGCATAGTTGGAATGAGTAACAATAAACATTAAGGTTATTGAGGAATCTTCTTCAAAAAGAAGGGTCAGAGGGAACTTTAGTGTAACTAATCACCCTCATACGATTTACATAACATATTTGAACTTTTGTACCAACCAAATAAAAGTTATAGATTCCACTTTGGGTGGGAAGTGGTTGAGTTAAGGAATAACTTATGGTCAATATCGTTGTTTAGAAATCATAGTGACATTAACCCAATGGAAAATACATGAAGGATGTTATGAAGACGTGCTTGGAGCAACTAAATGGTTCAATTTTGGAGATATAGGAGTTTCGAACTAGACAAAGTTTCAAAACACCCAAGGAGAATCAAGTAGATTTACATTTATATTCAATTGAGGATTTTCCAAGAAGATCTAGAAAGGGCTAAGTAACCATTAGAGATTTCAACCAAGTAAATGGAGAGCGCTAGATGTGAAGTAAGAGAAATATGTATTATAGAAACAAGGTTTAACTATAGATTAAAGGGGAGTGTGTGAGAGCGGAAGCCTTGAATTCATGAGTTATTAATTTTGCAAGAAAGCCGTGAATATTGAGAGTAAAATTAACTAAAAGGGGAAGAATGTAACATCTCATTTTTATCTTCTTTTGATTAATAGATGAATTATGTTGTATAATCAATCAAGGACTTATTTATAAGTGATCGAGGATGTTAAATGTGTTAAGAATCAAGGAAATTTTGTAAACCATGGGATTAGAAGATGTAGGGGTAAAATGGACATATTTTTCTAGAGAGGTATTTTGGTTGTTTCATGATTTAATATCTTACCTCAAGAAAAATAAAGATTGATTGAAATTAAGAAAAGTTAATTAAATCTTTAAGTCATAATTAACATGCAAAAGGCCTTTTAGCATTTTGGTTTAAGATAGGGATATAATAGAGATTTCACATTCATTAATGAAGTGAAAAAATGCCTTTTGGCATTTGTATTATCAGTTTTGCTATGTTATACTAAACATTACACCTACACCATATGAACAGTGTTCTTATAAAAAAACAATAAAATATTCATACTAGCACATGTTGTTTCTCTTTCATTTATGCTTCGGTGGGCCATGGAAAAACTTCACTTTAGTGTTTCTCTCTCTTAACATCAGCCACATATATTCTCTACTGAACTCAATAAAATGTTCCAACTTTTATCATCTCTCTTAACAACTTCTTCTTCTTGATCATTCCGCGTCATTTATTTCTTATTTCTTCTCCAACTTTTCTTTTCATTTCATCTCCATCCATTTCTATCAAGAAAAAAAGAAATTTATATAGCATCATTATGTAATGAAGATGAAGATTTAACTCAGTATGTTTCTAGATATCATCATAGAATAATCCAATAATATCAATGTTTTTCTTTTGGATCATATGTTTATTCATGATTGTTCATATATTTCTAGATTTAACACAACATTAATCTACTTTCTTTACTGTTATTGATTTCATGTTTATTCACAATTATTCGTTAACCATGTCCTAAATAGTATTGCCCTACTTTGCTCACACCGTTAACCATGCTTATCTACTGTTAAACAATTTCATATTTTTACACATGTTGGTTCGTTAACCATTATTGGGAACTGTATTAACCAACTTGTGTCACACCATTAACCAACTTTATAATAAACAATGTTATAAACCTGCCCGTGTGTCTGGGTATTTATTAACCAAGTTATAGACAATATTAACCATAATTTTGAACGCTATTAACCAACGTTGTTATAAATTTATATTATACCTAATATTGACATTTTTTTGTGCAGTTTTTGTATCATAATAGACAGTTCAAGCATTTTGATAGAATGTGCTAGTAGTCAAAGGGAAGATGTAGAAGTCGATCACGGCGATGGTGATGGTGATGATGATGACTCACTTTGAGTTTCTGCAATTGGGATGCTTTTTTATTGTATAGAGGAAGTTAAAACTTATTAACAAGAGTATGCTTTGGAAAAGGGGTTTGGATAAAGGATTAGATCATCAAAAAAAGGAGATGACATGGAGCTTAACTACTTCATACTTTCTTGTGGGAACGAAGTTGTTTGCGAATATTGTTAATGGCTACCTTAGTCCTTTTAAATAGTTCTAATGTTTGACATTGTTGGTATTCTTATACTACTGGAGACTTACCAACAATAGAAAATACAAGAGCAAAATAAACATCAATTGGAGTAAAGAGAACTATCTTATCCCTAGCCCTAA